CAGGCCCTATAATAAAATATTTTCTAATTAAATCATACAATATTTCGGTTAAATCCGATGCTGAAAATCACACTATAAACTACATAAATAATTAATTTCGAAAGAAGCCGGAAAAACGAATAGAAAAACAAAAATAAAAGGCATTTGACATTTCTGTGTAAAGCACATGTATACAAAGCTGTCAGTTCTCCTGTATGCATGTATGCATGAATGCTATATGATAGTGCAGTACATCCAAAACAGGCCTTAAAATACAAGTCTGCTCAAACGGACGTCTTTCGTGTGTAGTTTTATTTACATGTATAATAATGTTTACTGAACATCTGAATTTATGTATAGCAATTGACAGTGAACGTTTTCCTTTTTGAATGAATGTATTCAATATATTTCAGGATGTCTTTGTATTATAGAATATATATGCATGGATACTTGAACACTATAATGAATTTACAAAATATTTTGAAGTTTTGATTAAAGATCAATTTCCTTTATAAAACTTCTCTTACACACAAAGTAGCTGCAGTTCACTTGTACTCCCAAATTTCGAGGTGGTTCTTCATTAAATTGGGCATTAACTTAAAGAAGAAAAAAATCGATATGTTACATATATGACGCACTATATATTTGTTTACCATCTGGTGATAATTTATTAACCCAGGTTTCCATGCATGTGAAAAATTACGTCACAAACAGTGCCGTTATGTTTATACGACCGTCAAAAAAAAAAAAAATGACGAGACGAGTTATGGTTTATGTATTGCGTTGTCCGCCCGTCCGTCGTAAACTTTTACATGTCCGCAGTATGAGTCTTCAGTCTTTTTCAAACTTTGTAAACTTATACTAAATCAATTACCATGATATTTTGATTCGATTGTTTTTTGAAAGAGTAACTGCCCCTTTTCAAGTCCATCTCGCCAAATTAACCTAAAGAGCATAAGAGGACTTATTTTTTTACTACAAAGATTTACTTTTTTAAATGACTTGTCCATAGATCTTCTTCCCATTCCGTTTTTGCCGGATTTCTTTAGAGCTTGGTGTGTTTCATCATCGAAAGATGTGAATTCAGTTCGTTTTGGAAAAGTAATTGCCATTTGTATTGTCATTTTTCAACCGATTTCTTCAAAACTTGGAATCTAAGACCTGAAGCTGTACTTCCTTAGTGGCAGTTTGATCAGACAATTATTGATTCATTTCCATATTTGTCCTCATTTATGAAATATTACTTCTCTTTGTCATGGTACGGTCTATATTGTTCCGACTCGTGGTAATTGTTTAAGTCACGATATGGAAACATATAATCTTTTAGTCCATCGAAAGTCATACTTCATAATGTACTGAATTAGGTAACACTGTGATAGATGTGAGAGAACTTCGCTTTGATGACTTATTATAGAAACTGGTAAATGAAATAACATTGAAAAACAAAACAGAATATGTCCATATTTGGATACGGATGGAATTAGTGTTGAATACCATTATCTTTCGTTTTATACAGGGAAGCTGTATACAAGGCCGAATATTATTAAAAGTTATAACTTGAGGAGTGTTACAAAGTTTTAGTTTAAAAAAAGTGAAATTATTTTTAGGGCTTGTATTCCGTATTTATAATTTCGCATATATGTTTATTTACACTGTACTGTTGTGAACGCCATTTCAAGGTTATTTCCCTATTTAACTGTGGTACGTGTACAAGTCTGTACTAGACACAGTGTTAGTTTTGTTAAGATTTGAGCTCGTGTTACGTAATATCGAGTCAACACAACAAACACTTTTGTTAAATTATGTTACGTAATTGGTGTAAACAAGTTTAGTAAAACATATTAAAAATAGTGTATTATAGTACGACAGCTAGTAGGGTACACATACACACTGCCTGCTAAATATATTAGACTGATGGGACACATACTTTTACCTAAGGCTGATGAATAACACGTTAAGTCTATGTCAAGCATGATATTATATCTGTATAAGATTACACTTAAATTTAGTTTTAAGTATCACAAAGGCACTGCTTAATTTTTTTTTCATTTCTGTGAAATTCTTGTTTCACGTTTTTAACAAATGAATACTTTACATTTTAACTTGTGTTAATAACAGAGCCTTTCGTTTTTCACGTGGTTTGTATAGACACGTGTACATTAGGGAACCTGTTGTTTTATACATGGTTTATAAACGAAGAAGTGAGGGCGAGCCTCTAACGACACGTGTACATCAGGGAACCTGTTGTTTTATACATGGTTTATAAACGAAGAAGTGAGGGCGAGCCTCTAACGACACATGTACATCAGGGAACCTCGTGTTTTATACATGGTTTATAAACCAAGAAATGAGGGCGAGCCTCTAACGACACATGTACATCAGGGAACCTCGTGTTTTATACATGGTTTATAAACCAAGAAATGAGGGCGAGCCTCTAACGACTTTTATACATGATTTATAAACCAAGAAACGAGGGATAGCTTCTAACGACACGTGTACATCAGGGAACCTCGTGTTTTATACATGGTTTATAAACCAAGAAATGAGGGCGAGCCTCTAACGACACGTGTACATCAGGGAACCTTGTGTTTTATACATGATTTATAAAACAAGAAATGAGTTCGCCTCTAACGACACATGTACATAAGGAAACCTCGTGTTTTATACATGATTTATAAAACAAGAAATGAGTTCGCCTCTAACGACACATGTACATCAGGGAACCTGTTGTTTTATACATGGTTTATAAACCAAGAAATGAGTTCACCTCTAACGACACGTGTACATTAGGGAACCTCTTGTTTTATACATGGTTTATAAACCAAGAAATGAGGGCGAACCTCTAACGACACATTCCTAGTTATTGAATAAGAAATTAATGAGTTAAATAGGAGTCCATCATTACAAGTCTGAATTCATATCAGCACATGTACGTTGATATATATACATGTATAGGTCGGACTAAATTTGTAATTTTATATTTTCTGTTTCATGGGACTGCTAATGACTTAGATCAGTATCTGATTAAGCTACCTCTATAGTTCATATCCGTATCACAACCCTATATTTCGCCATTATGTTACGTTGCATGCGTAAATACTTTTTGACTTTTCCTACAGTCTTCGAAATGAAAAAGATGTTTCAAATTAGAAATAGTTCTTTTTTGTAAAGTTCGCAGATTTCTAGAAAAAAAACCGCTGAAATTACTGCTTGTTTTGTGAGTATTTTCAACAGTGACATCAGTTTACATACTTTATAGAATGAGGTGATATATATGGAATTGTGAACATATACTTGTATTGTGAATGAGTGTCTGATTAGTACGACATACACAGGTACTCGGAATACTTAGACTCGATATCTTTATTTCTTTTCTGAATCAATTTAAGGTGTATCATTTCCAGATAATTTCGTTTTTTCTTTAACCAGGACGCACACTAATACACGCAGCAGTGTACATATTTATTATGATGTTTACAGTTCATTCATATACCGCCTGGATTACTGGTATAGATAGTAATTCTGAAGCGATTTCCTTTTGAATAACTGGCGACAAAACATGTATAATCTATTATCAGAAAAGACATTGTTGGTGGTCTCTAGTATTTTATGAACCGAATTATTTTATTTAGTAAATATTTCAGCATATGCTCTTTCAGAACTGTAGATATCTGGGTTTTATTATAACTGAAGGCTCAGTGTGATATTCTTGGCGTCTGCCTCTTTCTCTATAACAAGTCAACTTTGGCATTTTGTTGTCAAGAATATGATTTCTTTTTCTGTATTACAGGTAACTAGGTGTCTTCTGTATTACAAATAACTAGGTGTCTTCTGTATTACAAATAACTAGGTGTCTTCTGTATTACAAATAACTAGGTGTCTTCTGTATTACAAATAACTAAATGTCTTCTGTATTACAAATAACTAGGTGTCTTCTGTATTACAGGTAACTAGGTGTCTTCTGTATTACAAATAACTAGGTGTCTTCTGTATTACAAATAACTAGGTATCTTCTGTATTACAAGTAACTAGGTGTCTTCTGTACAAGTAACTAGGTGTCTTCTGTATTACAAGTAATTAGGTGTATTGACATGTTAATGTAACTACTGTGTTACAGAGAGCTAAGGAGAGGTAACTTTGTATCTAGTGTTTAGTTAATGTAACTACTGTGTTATGTAACTACGGTGTTACAGAGAGCTTAGGAGAGGTAACTTTGTATCTAGTGTTAAGTTAATGTAACTACTGTGTTACTGAGATTTAAGGAGAGGTAACTTTGTATCTAGTGTTTAGTGAATGTAACTACTGTGTTACAGAGAGCTTAGGAGAGGTAACTTTGTATCTAGTGTTTAGTGAATGTAACTACTGTGTTACAGAGAGCTTAGGAGAGGTAACTTTGTATCTAGTGTTTAGTTAATGTAACTACTGTGTTATGTAACTACTGTGTTATTGAGATTTAAGGAGAGGTAACTTTGTATCTAGTGTTTAGTTAATGTAACTACTGTGTTACTGAGATTTAAGGAGAGGTAACTTTGTATCTAGTGTTTAGTTAATGTAACTACTGTGTTATGTAACTACTGTGTTACAGAGAGCTTAGGAGAGGTAACTTTGTATCTAGTGTTTAGTTAATGTAACTACTGTGTTACAGTTAAGGAGAGGTAACTTTGTATCTAGTGTTTAGTTAATGTAACTACTGTGTTAAGTAACTGCTGTGTTACAGAGAGCTAAGGAGAGGTAACTTTGTATCTAGTGTTTAATTAATGTAACTGTGTTACAGAGAGCTAAGGAGAGGTGACTTTGTATCTAGTTTTTAGTTAATGTAACTACTGTGTTATGTAACTACGGTGTTACAGAGAGCTTAGGAGAGGTGACTTTGTATCTAGTTTTTAGTTAATGTAACTACTGTGTTACAAAGAGCTAAGGAGGTGACTTTGTATCTAGTGTTTAATTAATGTAACTACTGTGTTACAATTAAGGAGAGGTAACTTTGTATCTAGTGTTTAATTAATGTAACTGTGTTACAGAGAGCTAAGGAGAGGAAGACATACACTGATGAGGACCTTGATGATGACGACATTGAGGGAAAGAGGGCCTTCAACTTGGAGGAGAAACTCCAGTCCAAGAAATACAACAAAAACTTTGTCAAGGTCATGAAAGGTCATGGTATGTTTATTTATACACAATTAGAACTTACCTGTATTTAAGGAATTAATGCATGGAGAACTCTTCCATTCATCTCCAGTTTGACAGAGTACACCAACTCTGACAGACATTAGGGTCTGTTCCCAGCCAATGTTATAACAATGTCTGAATTTTGTTATCATGCCGTCCCAATAGTGAAGATGAGATGTGAAGGCATTGGATACATGTATATTTGTATACTTTATAGTATACCATGACATATATTTGTAAATAACTGCTCTTTGTCTGTTTTCCCTAGAATTGAACATGAGTTACCTGCAGGCCAATGGATTGGAGGCACCCATTGTGATGTATGACAAGACTGGACTAGGAATGAGGTAAAACTGATAGGTCTTACTCAATCATAGGGAACCACATGGGACTACTTCCAAACCATACAGAACCATTAGAGGGGCTTTATCCTACCATAGGTAACCAATACAGGGGTTTTACCCTACCATAGTGAACCATTAAAGGGGTTTTACCCTACCATAGTGAACCATTAGAGGGGTTTTACCCTTCCATAGGTAACCATTAGAGAGGTTTTACCCTACCATAGGTAACCAATAGAGGGGTTTTACCCTACCATAGGTAACCATTAGAGGGGTTTTACCCTACCATAGGTAACCATTAGAGGGGTTTTACCCTACCATAGGTAACCATTAGAGGGGTTTTATCCTACCATAGGTAACCATTAGAGGGGTTTTACCCTACCATAGTGAACCATTAAAGGGGTTTTAACCTACCATAGGTAACCAATAAAGGGGCTTTTCCTACCAAAGGGAAGCATTAGAGAGGTTTTAACTTACCATAGGTAACCATTAGAGGGGCTTTATCCTACCATAGGGAACCATATAAAGGCTTCTCCCAAGCCATAGGGGCTGTAAAATGTATAAAAAAAACCCCAAAAAAGGTACTTAAAAGTCTACCCAGCTGTAGATATATTGTCTCTTGGTTATATCATTGTATTTTATGTTAAACAAATTCAGGGTTATAGTCACTTTTTCTCCTTATTCCATTACAGAGTACCGAGTCAGAACTTCCGAGTTAATGATGTAAAACAGTGTGTGGGTATGTATATACGACTGTTGACTATATAAACATTCTGTAGCTGGAACTGAATCATGTGACATTGTGTATTATCCTTGTATTGGTCATACAAATGTGGAATCTGATGTTATACTCAGGTCTCTGGTGTAGTTTTGGAAGATGTTTGTTCTGTATGTTAAACATTATTTGATTGGTTGATGCAATTTGTTAGATGTTTCTTCTTTATGTTAAACATGATATGATTGGTTGATGTAGATAGTAAGGTTAATGAATTTTATAGTATAGAAGATTTAATTGGTTAATAGTGACTGAGCATGTTTTGCTTGTTATATTATTGGTTGATGACATCGGAAATGTTTTTAGTTTCATTTTTGATTCATTAAAGCCTACAGTTGAAAAATTATTTTATAACATTTAGAAGAAACAGAGATTCTCATTAAGATCCTCTATAACAGGTTGAGATTGATTGGATGTTTTTACAGGAAGTAGGCGTGTCCTCGATGTGATGGACGTGACAACACAGAAGGGCAAGGAGATGACTATGAGGGAGTGGGTCCAGTATTTCGAGAACCCAGAGCGGGAACGCCTCCTGAATGTTATCAGTCTGGAATTTAGTCACACAAAACTGGAGAATTATGTGGAATCTCCAACATTGGTGTGTACCTAATGTTGTAGGGGATTATCAAATTTACACATTAATAGTTATGGACATGGAAGCCTTACAAAAAAAAAAAAATCAAAATTATTACATATAAGTTCAACTTTCCAATTTCAGAAGAACTTACCTGAAACAATGTTCCTTAATTTCATAGATGTATATGATATACATCTCTATCATTCTTCACTTGTAAAATCACCTGTGCTTTGTCTTGAGGTTGATGTGTTTACGTGTTAAAGGTACGACAAGTCGACTGGGTGGATACAGTTTGGCCACAATACCTGAAGGATTGTCAGACGGAGTCCACAAACATCATAGACAAAATGAAATATCCAAAAGTACAGAAGTGAGTATTGGTGACCAAAACACAAAACCTTTGTTTAATAGTCCAAGGGAGGTAATTCAATGATAAATTTAGTAACTCCAGCAGATTTTTATTGCCCCCTAAGATTTTGTCCAAAAGTAGTTTGATGTAGATAAACCCATTTAGTTCTTTCTTGTTCAAATAATTTTCTTGTTTGTCACTACAGATACTGCCTGATGAGTGTGAAGGGCTGTTTTACCGACTTCCACATTGACTTTGGCGGGACATCTGTGTGGTACCACATTTTACACGGCCAGAAGGTGGGTACCTATATAAACTTTGATCAGCTTACTAAGTCACACACACACCTGTTAGCTGACTGTTGTCAGATGGTTGCCTATTCAGATAGATCATATTGCTTGGGGTGTCTGTCCTTAAACAATATTTGGTAGTCACCATAAAGTTGCTGGATGGATTTCCAACAAAAGTAGGTTTTCCTTGTTCCCTTAATTTTCTAACTTAGTTTTCAGGCAGAGAGGAAGAAAAACAGCTGACTGGTGTCCATCTCAGATTATGACAGCTTAAATTTTTTTTACCACAGTGAACAGAAAGTATCATTCTCTCATATTATATACTTTTCTCCCTAGTAATTTAATTTGTTCACTTTTGAATTTGATTGGAAAAACAGGATGACAAAAAGCTGTGTATGTTTCATTGGTTTTCTGAATGTGAAGTTTACTGTTTTTTCCTGAGAACATGTAAAGAATCCATTTGAAATTAATTGGCCATGCTCAGATCCAAATGTTCTTAGTATTTGTTGCAAGCTTTGCCAGATTGCTGGGCACACTGAGGACCTGGTGGTGTAAGTGTGAGTTGTATGCTTTCTCAGACCACTGTTTGTTATTTTCCAGGTGTTCTGGTTGATTCCTCCGACAGAGAAGAATATTGACAGCTATATAACCTGGACATTATCAGGGAAACAAGGAGACTTCTTCCTCGCTGATCATGTAGAGGGATGTCAAAGAATAGAGCTCAACGAGGGTTACACTTTTATCATACCATCTGGTAATGTTATTTAACTGATAGTTGTACCACTTCAAATATTCAGTGCACAAGCCCTAATCACAATATAGTGAAGGCTAGAGCAAAATAACATTTGAGCAAATTTTAACTTTTTTAGGGTCTTGGTTAAGTGTCATGTAGTCTGGAATTTATTGAACCAAGTTCAGTGACTTGATACAGTTACATATATCAAATTATTGAAAGAGTTCAATAACTCGATACAATTCATTATTAAATGAGCTTAATAAATTCCTTATTTCATTTACACAACCACAAAATTCTATTTGTAAGCAAAAACATAATTAATTTCCTTATATGACTTAAGGTTAATTTTGACTCAGACAATATGTTTTTCACTACCAAGTCATTTTCATGAACTTAGGCATAACATCACAATAGTGTTATTATACTTCATGTAGATCTCAATAAGGAGATGTGCAGTGTACAAGAACCGTCTCTTTTTATATAATTTAGGAGTTCTTGCCCTTTGTTATTTTTCATACTTACATTTTGTCCCATGCGGGGAGCATAACCTGTCTCTGATGGCCCTTGTTACATAAATGTCTTACAATATGCATCACATAACTGTATGACATACTGCAACAGTCCAGTTCAGATAAATAAAGTTGTCTCTGTCATGTTATGGCTCAGTATCATACCTGTTTCTTGTCTTCACATCACAGTTTATACAAATGTCAGGTATAGATTTGTATGTCAGGGTTTCAGCTAAAATAAATCTAAGGCCATTGTTAATATCTGTAAAAACTTTTTTTTCAACGATGACGTTAGTATATATGAGATTTGAGCAATTTTCTTAAGACATTTTCTATGCTCCCACCATTTCGTGGTCAGGACATGTTAGTGTTGAATCATCATTCTGTCATTTTGTCAATCTTGTTTCAGCTCCTTTAGTGGGAACATGCGAAGAGCTATTGTTGTATATAGTTGTATTATGATAAGTTTCGTCAGTAAGGATCAAATTTTCACAAAAAATGATCAGGCCAAAAATGGAAAGCCTTGCTTAACTCCTCTAGGAATTTCAAAACATCTCTTAACAAAGCCAATAACACCATGCTTTTCAAACTTCTCCTTGGTTTTGGGGGGAGCTTTCATGTTGTGCAGACACATCTGGTTTCAGTTAACAGTATAATACTCTAAGTATTTACAGATGTTTCAGATATAGAGACATTTAATGATTAATTATCCATTAAACAGGATGGATCCATGCTGTATACACTCCTAAAGATTCTCTAGTGTTTGGAGGTAATTTTCTCCATAGCTACAACATCGTGAATCAACTGCGTGTATCCGAGGTTGAAGATAAGACTCATGTGAGTAATTGAATTTAAACAATAGAGACTTAAAACTGGAAACCACACATAAAAATGTATACAAGACCATCAAACCACGGATTTACAACCACATTATTTTCATTGGTTGCCCATTCCAAGATGCACTATTGCTAAATCCTGTATTTATCAAAGCATGATAATTTTTACATTACAATGCCCTGTATTTTACATATTGTTACATTCTAGATTAAGCATTGAATGTTAAGTGTTATATCATAACAATAGATTTGCAGAAGGGCAAACATCAATGATAATATTATTATGAAGTGTTTCTTTAAAGAATGATTTTATTGACTGGATCAGCACAAGAGGTATTTTTGACATAAATATTTGTAGAGATGTACACTGAACAGACTCTTTGTTGATACAGGTGCGTCAGAAGTTTCGTTACCCTTTCTATGCAGAGATAGCCTGGTATGTTCTTGCTCAATATCTCAAGTGTGTCACTGGGAAAGAATATCTTAACCTTCGGAAGCCTCCTGAAGAGAAGGAGTCTGAGGACATCAACATGGAAACGTTCTCAAATGATGACGATTCACGCCCACCGTCAAGGTGTTCTCAGGAAAATGGATGTGTCGATAATAAACCTGTTGACTTGAAGGATGTGATAGCTCCAGGCACTCCCAAAATGGCCAAGAGTGTTACTATTGAATTGACACGAATCGACCAATCACCAATTAAACGATCACAGAGTGACGATGAGTGTAGTACACCTGGTAGACGACGATCACCAAGGAAGTCTTCGTCAGACAGCTGTAGTTCAGCGGACACAGAAATATATGAAAGACCTGATGAAATGGTTGTGGACAATTTAAATGATGTTGACAATGACAAGGACAAGAAGGTAGAAAAAGCTGTCTTTAGTGGTGTGAGTAAGATGGAGGTAGCTAGTGCTGATGTGAGTGAGGTGACTGGTGTAAGTGGTTCCAAGTCAGGAAAGTGGGTACATCTGACAAAGTGGGAGCTACAAGGACTGCGCACATTAATTGAATGGCTGGAGGGACTAGCACCCACCAAAAAGGGAGTTCCAAAAGAACTTTTGGAGCCAGACACTGTGCTAAATGAAGCTAAGGTAAACCTATCTGAAACTTCTGAAAAAAATACTATTCATCTTTTTAGCTTATATTGAGTTATACATTAGCCTCTGGTATCAGTTATGGGGATGAGTTTGTATTTTTCCTGAATATGTAACACACCCTTCCTATTTATGGTACACTCAAGTTGTGGTATAACTACAATTAAGCATTTATGCACAATATTTCTTAATTTTGATGTTTTAGACATTTACTGTAACAAAGACATATGAAAAATAATCTAAACTCGTTAGAAAAAATTGCACTACTTACCAAATTTTAATTGATTCATGCTACTGTGTGTTTTGCAGTGTTAAAACTTGTGTAGAAAATATGATCAATAACTGCTGCTTTTCCAGGTTCTTGATGACAGATTTTGCTTATATTTCATACTTACATCTTGATTGTTCTCTGTTGTAGCAACTGTTATTGGACCATGCTGAAGATAACCCTGCCTTAGCTGTCACTGGTGAACCTGTACTATTCTGGCCTCCCTCCAAAAAGGTAAGCCACTTTTGTATGATTCTGTAGGACTGTCACAAACAGCAGGTACTTCAGCCTAGATGCACTTTTTACCTGATTTCAACAAAGAAGTAAGGGATTTCTCTGTGACCCTGGTAAATACTAGCCGCAATATATCGCTTGCCTAGAGACGACTTTTCCTTGATCGGTTGAGTGTCAGATGAGTAAGCTAGAGGTCCTGTCTCTATGAGATTGTGTTTTCTTCCTTTTGGTTTGACGGAAACATGTTCCTTGTATTTGTATGTAAGATAATGAAAACGGTGGATGTAAAACACTTGTATTAAATATATGTATTTCACATGGGTGCTTAACAAAAAGTAAATGAACCGAATGAACCTAACTACAATGATGATGATCTATTCTGATGATAAAAGTTATTCAAAATTTGTATTGCCTGATCAGGAGTTTGGCAGTTCTGCTTGGAAATACTCAGTGTAAATAATAATCTTTATTTTGTGCTGTATTTCTTCCTGTTAGTACCAAATATGACATTTGTTGATCTCAAAATGTGCCATATGTCATGTATTACTGAGAAATTTCATGTCCATCACTGTACATGTACTGACTGTACAGTTAAAATTTCAGTACAGTATAACTACATATGTAAATTCCAAATCTGAAGAATATATTGTCTGAGAAATGGGAGGTCAGATGTTTTTTTCTTTTGTTTTTTTTGGGGATTTTTTATTTTCGAGAAATTAGACACTTTTCTGTATCATACTTCTCACTATTGAGTCGGTGATCTGGAATCCACTTAGCTTAAAAATTAACTATACTTTGTTCTCATGACCAGGACCCTGGGTAGTTATCCCTGTGTGCTGTCATTGTTCTCATGACCAGGACCCTGGGTAGTTATCCCTGTGTGCTGTCATTGTTCTCATGACCAGGACCCTGGGTAGTTATACCTGTGTGCTGTCATTGTTCTCATGACAAGGGCCCTGGGTATTTATACCTGCGTGCTGTCATTGTTCTCATGACCAGGACCCTGGGTAGTTATACCTGTGTGCTGTCATTGTTCTCATGACCAGGAACCTGGGTAGTTATACCTGTGTGCTGTCATTGTTCTCATGACCAGGACCCTGGGTAGTTATCCCTGTGTGCTGTCATTGTTCTCATGACCAGGACCCTGGGTAGTTATGCCTGTGTGCTGTCATTGTTCTCATGACCAGGACCCTGGGTAGTTATACCTGTGTGCTGTCATTGTTCTCATGACCAGGACCCTGGGTAGTTATACCTGTGTGCTGTCATTGTTCTCATGACCAGGACCCTGGGTAGTTATCCCTGTGTGCTGTCATTGTTCTCATGAAAAGGACCCTGGGTAGTTATCCCTGTGTGCTGTCATTGTTCTCATGACCAGGACCCTGGGTAGTTATACCTGTGTGCTGTCATTGTTCTCATGACCAGGACCCTGGGTAGTTATACCTGTGTGCTGTCATTGTTCTCATGACCAGGACCCTGGGTAGTTATCCCTGTGTGCTGTCATTGTTCTCATGACCAAGACCTTGGGTAGTTATCCCAGTGTGCTATCATTGTTGACAGTTAAAGTTTCCAGAAATGATAGAATTGAAACCAATTTGTTTCACAGAAAATTAAACCAAAAGTGAAACTATCTGGGCCAAAGAAGGCTGCAGGGAAAGGCAGTCCATCGTCAGGTGTTCGTCGGCGCAGGACACGGTGTAAGAAATGTGAGCCATGCACCAGGAATGATTGTGGGGAGTGTAATTTCTGCAAAGACATGAAGAAGTACGGTGGACCTGGGAGGATGAAACAGTCATGTATCAGTAGGCAGTGTCTAGCAGTAAGTATTTACACTCAAACATTGTCTAGCAGTAAGTGCTTACACTCAAACAATGTTTAGCAGTAAGTGTTTACACTCAAACATTGTCTAGCAGTAAGTGTTTACACTCAAACAATGTCTAGCAGTAAGTGTTTACACTCAAACAATGTCTAGCAGTAAGTGTTTACACTCAAACAATGTCTAGCAGTAAATGTTTACGCTCAAACAATGTCTAGCAGTAAATGTTTACACTCAAACATTGTCTAGCAGTAAATGTTTATACTCCAACATTGTCTATCAGTAAGTGTTTACACTCAAACAATGTCTAGCAGTAAGTGTTTACACTCAAACAATGTCTAGCAGTAAGTGTTTATACTCCAACATTGTCTAGCAGTAAGTGTTTACACTCAAACAATGTCTAGCAGTAAGTGTTTACACTCAAACAATGTCTAGCAGTAAGTGTTTACACTCAAACATTGTCTAGCAGTAAGTGTTACACTCAAACATTGTCTAGCAGTAAGTGTTTACAGTACACTCCAACAATGTCTAGCAGTAAGTGTTTACACTCAAACATTGTCTAGCAGTAAGTGCTTACACTCAAACAATGTCTAGCAGTAAATGTTTACACTCAAACAATGTCTAGCAGTAAGTGTTTACACTCAAACAATGTCTAGCAGTAAGTGTTTATACTCCAACATTGTCTATCAGTAAGTGTTTACACTCAAACAATGTCTAGCAGTAAGTGTTTACACTCAAACAATGTCTAGCAGTAAGTGTTTACACTCAAACATTGTCTAGAAGTAAGTGTTTACACTCAAACATTGTCTAGTAGTAAGTGTTTACACTCAAACAATGTCTAGCAGTAAATGTTTACAGCAGTAACAGTAAGTGTTTACACTCAAACAATGTCTAGCAGTAATATTTTATGCTCAACCCATGTTATCTGAGTTATATAAAACATACCTTTAAAACTTGCAGTTTAAAAGAAAAAGAAATAAGATTTTGCTTTTCCACAATTTTTGTGTTCTTGTTTATCAAAATATTGATATTTTCATGAAATCTATCTTACTTGTTAGACCAGACAACACAACTTTAAAGATATTCTTTATGCATATATAAATACAATCAAATTTTAAATTTTACTTTTGGTGACATCACAACATGAACCTTACACATTGATATGTTTGTGTTAAGCCTGTTATCCCCCATGCTGCTGTGTGTATGATCTGTGGGAAGGATGACCGTATCAAGGAGTCGGAGGGTTCAGACGAGACCATCACAACACTGATGGAGTGTGGGATATGTTGGGAGATCGTTCATCCGCCCTGTATCAGACTAAAATTTGAGAACTTGGACAACAATGGTAAAGTAAATGAGGACCTGCCAAACAGCTGGGAGTGCCCTAAGTGTTGTCACGACGGGAAGCAAGGACAGCTCAAGGTGATCATATATTAAAATGAATATGATTTTTCACTACACACGATAAAGATTTGATCATTTTATCAGTAACAGACCTTTAGTTTGAGATAGTTTTATCTTGATTCATGCATTAACTCAAGAAGTGTTGACCTTTCAGCCAAGGATCTTTAAGGGTGTGGGTAAGATAGGTAAGGGAGGTGAAGCCGCAATGTCATGTGACTCGCCTTGTATGGAGACCAATCACATGATCAAGACGGAGGATGAGGATTCATCTGAGGGCAAAAGAGTAACATCACGCCAGTCACCTCTGATTGAGAACACAGACCACAAGGTACAATTATCCTATACTGTCAAGTCAAATGTTTTTGTGGGTCTCAAATTTGGTGGTTTTGTCAAAACAGTATTATTTAGTGGATACTTGTATTTGTGGATGCTGTAGAACTTATGTAGAAAATATTATGATCAAATTTATTAATTGATGGACAGGTAAATTTGTAGAAAAGGAATATCCATGAATTCAAGAACATCAAAGGTCCATAAAATATTTGGTCGTTATGGAAGGATGAAATGATAATATGGTACACTCCTAGATATATGATGTCATTTTGATGTAGCATGAAGACATGGAGATGGATGAAAGCAACATTGAGACAGAGGAAGAAGAGGTTACACCCAAGGGAGATAACTTGAAAGATATAAAGAGAAAAAAGACAATTAAAACAAGTTTATCTAAGGGAAACTTGAAAAAGGGGCGTAGTCCCTTGAAGAAAGTAAAATTGAGAAGATTATCAGGTCAACAAATCCCACAAAGACGACCTCTTCACTCCATTATGACTAAGCGAAAATCTCCTGGTCAGCTCAAGTCTCCTGTTCAGCTAAAACCTACAAGTAAACTCAAAACTGCTGGTCAACTCAAGCTTAAAAAATCTCCGGTCAAAAGGGTAAGTACTGTACTTAATAAAATCTCAAGTCAACAGGATAAGTACTGTTCTATATTAAATCTCAAGTAAAGAGGGTAAGTACTGTTTTATATAAAATCTCCAGTCAAGAGGGTAAGTACTGTACTTTATAAAATCTCAAGTCGAGCGGGTAAGTATTGTTCTATATAAATACCCCAGTCATGAGGGTACATACTGTTCTATATCAAATCTCCAGTCAAGAGAGTAAGTACTGTTCTATATAAAATCTCCAGTCAAGAGAGTAAGCACTGTTCTGTATAAAATCTCCAGTTAATTAGGTCAGTATTGTTCTGTATAAAATCTCCAGTCAAGAGAGTAAGTATTGTTCTATATAAAATCTCCATTCAAGAGAGTAAGTACTGTTCTGTATAAAATCTCCAGTCAAGAGAGTAAGTACTGTTCTATATAAAATCTCCATTCAAGAGAGTAAGTACTGTTCTATATAAAATCTCCATTCAAGAGAGTAAGTACTGTTCTGTATAAAATCTCCAGTCAAGAGAGTAAGTATTGTTCTATATAAAATCTCCATTCAAGAGAGTAAGTACTGTTCTGTATAAAATCTCCAGTCAAGAGAGTAAGTACTGTTCTATATAAAATCTCCATTCAAGAGAGTAAGTACTGTTCTATATAAAATCTCCATTCAAGAGAGTAAGTACTGTTCTATATAAAATCTCCATTCAAGAGAGTAAGTACTGTTCTATATAAAATCTCCATTCAAGAGAGTAAGTACTGTTCTGTATAAAATCTTCAGTTAAGAGAGTAAGTACTGTTCTGTATAAAATCTCCATTCAGGAGAGTAAGTACTGTTCTGTATAAAATCTCCAGTCAATTAGGTCAGCATTGTTCTATATAAAATCTCAAGTCAAGATAGTAAATACTGTTCTATTTAAAATCTCCAGCCAAGTTGGTAAGTACTGTAATTTATTGATCTAGAAAATCATATGTGAAGGAACAAAGATTATGCCATCATGATGAACAGACAATGTGTGAGGTTATCTATTAGTTGTAATGTTAGTCTGCAGTCAGATTTGTTTTGTTAGCCAACTACCATCAGGCATTGATCTTCTTAGATAACTTTTTGCCATTTTCTATCTGACGTAAATTTTATTTAATCACTTTTTCTAGAGGTGAATTAGACAGATATTTCTCCAAATTCATAATCATGTATGATTTTGAGGCGAACTAGACAAAAGTGATCACCTGACTGTTGAAGTTGTGACAATACCATTTCTTGGTGTTTATTGGATATTTCACCAGCTGTTGGCTATGACTTATGTTACTATATTATCCTTTCTTTACTTCTGGAAAGTTATATAGGATTTTGGCCTTTGAAGTCTATTAGATTAAATAGATCTTTTGAAAATTGAAAGTTGTCTCCCCTAGCTCATGTTGTGCATGATGAGTTTTGCAACTGATCCTAAAATATTGTTGATGTTAATACAGGTAGTCATCTTCTAATTTGACTGTCAAGCTGATTACCACAGTTTTTAACAAAGTTGTGCAGATGTCTTTTGTCATTATTGTTATTTCTCTTCTTTTTTCATATTTAATTCCTGCTTTGTAAAATCAAGTGATAGTCCCGAGACAGAATTCCTGACCATCAAGAGCTTACATTTTCTGTTTGTTTTTATATACAAATGTTTTTTTTCAAATTCCATAATCAATAGCCTTTTTATTGCCTTGTTATGTATCTTTATAATGACTGCCAGAAATCTGAGATATGTTAAATCCCTTGATATGTTATACTCTTGATGTATTTAATGATAGGAGAGAATAGAAAAGGAAAAGTTGATACATTAAGTATAAAGATATCTGATGGTAATTAGTTCAATGTCATCAGAGTGGATCAATTTATGGTAATATCATGCTATTTTAGAATTAACATTTTTGTTTTCTCAGAAGCGAGACCAACTGATTGACAGCCTAAGTCCTCGGGAACAGTTGGTGGGTATTCCAGTTATAACACGCTCAGGCAGGACGGTGAAGAAGTCGCCTCAGCTGACAGACGAAAACATGTCATCTGACATACCACGGAAACGTGCCCGACGTGAGGTAGTTATTCCACGCCGATACTTGGATTAAATGTTGTACCCATCCCGTCACAAACACCTCCAAGTTTGTGTACAGTGGGTGGTAGTCTCCTGTTTCTTTTGTGATTTGTTCTTTCTTCCATTAATATGATATGCTACCTTACTGTTCATCATCTTCAACCAAAAAGAGTTCCACACCCAGACTTTAATATCTCCCTTTTACTAACAACAGTTTGAAATGGTTTAAAAATTTTAAAAGAAAGCTGGAATTGACGTAACTGTACGACAAGGTAATTAGTTTCTGGAGGATGAATGAAGTATATTGTAGCATATAACACTTATGTTTTTGAGAGACCAAATTATGATTCTCTATAGCCACAAAGTCTTTGCTTTAAAGGTTTTGTGTTTTTCATGCATGTGCAGGAAGAAAAATATTTTCCTTTTTGGAAATGAATCAAAATTTCAAGGTTATGAAAAAAAAAGAAATTCTATGCAGCATGTTTAATACCCATTGGCTACACTTTTAATTTAAATATCACATCTACATCTATTTTAAGACATGATAAATTTAACACATATCTAGATGTAAGTAAATCTAGATAATATTTCTATGCCAGATGGATATTGCCTTCACCAAATACTATATTTTTATACATAAAGATGATTTGTACTGTTTCAGTATGTCAATGTTTAATTGATTCTATTGAGGATTTAAAGAAAAAAAAATTTTCTTAACACATTCATCATCATCATCATCATCATCATCATCATCATCATCATCATCATCATCATCATCATCCTCATCGATCTTTCTCTGTCTCTCTTCTTACCTTCAATCGTTTTGTTGATTTTATGTGTTTTCAGTATCCCCTTCTGGGGGAAATAAAGATTGATGATGATGTCATTGCTCGAATGTATTTCACCCTAAAGAGTTCAATAACTAGATACTGGTGTTGACATCATGGAGTCTACAATAGTGTCTAGAGATATGTATTGATAATTTAAATACAGTGTTTTAAGATGAGAATTAAACTCTTTGTTAATCTGAACGAGAGTAATGACAAAGCAAATAATGGATGTTTTAACAGCAAATTGATTCTTGAATTACGTAATATATTCCTCAAAAATAGAGAACTTCCATGCAACATTACTTCAGTGAAATATATGTTTCTAAGTGCTACATAATTGGCCTTTATTGAGGATAGGACAACATTATGAAAATTGAATAAAAATATTCATGAAGACATTTGTGGTCTGTTCTAGATTTGGGTTGAAAATTAAACCACTACCTATCTCCTATGTGATCACATCACCATTGTAGATCATACTTTGTACTGCGCCCAGATGAGGGATAGATTATCTTAAGATTATTTTGTTATTTTACTACACAGAAGACAATTATCTTCTTTGTGAGAAAATCTTTACTGTGAAGTTGATTGTTTTTGTATTCTTTTTGACACATTTTTTATCAAGGCAGATCGCTTTCAGAAGTTTGTATTAAGAATGTAAATTTGCAACATTGAAACTCAAGATCGCTGAAAAGGATATCACAACCTGATACAAGCAGCTAGAATGAGACTTGTGTATTGTGAAGTTGCCTTGTACAATAGCCTACCTCATTGTGGTGTACATGTGATGTATATAAGTGCATAATTGATGTTAATTTATGGTCATTTACATAAAAATTCTAATTGTTGCCTTGTAAATGAAGATCAAGAAAATCTTCACTTCAGTTGCTGTTGAAAACCCCTTTCAGATGTAGAGAGGAATATAAACCTACTAAGTTGCAGTCAAGCTTCATTCTAATACAGAGTAAAAATCATTAATTGCTGCCCAGCCATATAACTTTAGAGTTATCTGCCCTGTCACACTGGAATTGTTTGCTTTTTTGTGCAGGCATTGTCCAATATGTTACTGTGAAAATATTTTCTTTGTTAATGTGAAGATATTTTTCATTTTACATAGTACATGTATACCATGTTACACTGGAGTTATCTACCCTTTAACAATAGAATTATCTACCATGTTACAAAGGCGTTAGGTTGCTTTGATGATATCTACCATGTTGATGTAAAGATATCTTACATTTTACTGATTGATATCTACCCTGTTAGTACACTGTAGATACCTACCATGCCACTGTAAAATCATATTCAAAAAATGTTATCCTCAAGTATTATAGTCCATGTCTTCTTGAATGTGTTTATCATTTTGTGTACAAATAAATTAATGGATTTAGAGTACAAACTAAGGAAACGAAAATAAATCCTCATGAAAATTAAAGATTTTACAGTGCCTTGAAGATATCTGCAATGTCACACTGGAGTTATCTACCTTGGTACAATTGACATTTCAACCATGGTACACTAGATATATATTACCATGTTACAGTAATATATCTGCCACGTTACACTGGAGTTATGTACCATGGTGCAGTTGAGGTATTTTACCCTGTCAGACTGGAGTTACCTACCCTGTCAGACTGGAGTTATCTACCCTTTTATGCTGGACGTATTTAACCTGTTACATAGATGATATCTACCATGTTTCACTCGATATTTCTAGCATGGTACATTGGAGTTATCTACCCTGTTACACCAGAGTTGTGTACCATGGCACAATGGAGGTATTTTACCCTGTGACATTTGAGTTATTCACCCTGTTACACTAGAGATATCTATAGTGTGATACTGCAGTTATTATCCATGTCACCCTGGTATTATTGACTCTGTTACATGGGAGATATCTACCTTGTAACAATAGAGTTATCTACCTTTTATCAATAGAGTTATCTACCTTGTTCACTGGAGATAACAACCATGTAAAACTGGAGATATTTAACGGAGTTATCTACAATGTTACATAGAAATTGTCTACCTTGTCTTGTAGTAATTTTCAACTGATGTATACAAAGCATCTAACAACTTGTATATGTATTTCTTAGCAGTTGTGACTTGCCAACCAAATCATTAATATGTTATTATAACATGCCATGTATCATTTTATGTAACATGTTGTATACAGAGTGTCATTTGCTCAATTTTGCATAATTCAAAAAGTTTTATGTTTATTTTTAAAATGATATTTCCATATTCTTAAGTCACTTGTATGATTTACTTTGTGCTTTAAACTCTCATGCACCTGAAGTCAAATTTTGTATGGTGCTGTTTACCCAAAAGTGAGAAGTGGTATTTGTGAATAGTATATCTTTGTAGTCATGGTGAATTAGAGAAAGATAAATGTAGTTATGAGGTTAGGATAAAAGTCTGTGTAGTAGTCAGTAGTACAAAAAGGTCTAGAGTAAAGGTGGTAGGAGAAAGGTCTGTAGTAGTCAGGGGAAGGAGAAAGGTCTGTAGTAGTCAGGGGTAGGAGTAAGGTCTGTAGTAGTCAGGGGTAGGAGTAAGGTCTGTAGTAGTCAGGGATAGGAGTAAGGTCTGTGTTGTAGTCAGGGGTAGGAGTAAGGTATGTAGTAGTCAGGGGTAGGATTAAGGTCTGTAGTAGTCAGGGGTAGGAGTAAGGTATGTAGTAGTCAGGGGTAGGATTAAGGTCTGTAGTAGTCAGGGGTAGGAGTAAGGTCTGTAGTAGTTAGGGGTAGGAGTAAGGTCTGTAGTAGTCCGGGGTAGGAGTAAGGTCTGTAGTAGTCAGGGGTAGGAGTAAGGTCTGTAGTAGTCAGGGGTAGGAGTAAGGTCTGTAGTAGTCAGGGGTAGGAGTAAGGTCTGTAGTAGTCAGGGGTAGGAGTGAGGTATGTAGTAGTCAGGGGTAGGAGTAAGGTCTGTAGTAGTCAGGGGTAGGAGTAAGGTCTGTAGTAGTCCGGGGTAGGAGTAAGGTCTGTGTGGTAGTCAGGGGTAGGAGTAAGGTTTGTAGTAGTCCGGGGTAGGAGTAAGGTCTGTAGTAGTCAGGGGTAGGAGTAAGGTCTGTAGTAGTCAGGGGTAGGAGTAAGGTCTGTGTAGTAGTCAGGGGTAGGAGTAAGGTCTGTGTAGTAGTCAGGGGTAGGAGTAAGGTCTGTAGTAGTCAGGGGTAGGAGTAAGGTCTGTAGTAGTCAGGGGTAGGAGTAAGGTCTGTGTAGTAGTCAGGGGTAGGAGTAAGGTCTGTAGTAGTCAGGGGTAGGAGTAAGGTCTGTAGTAGTCAGGGGTAGGAGTAAGGTCTGTAGTAGTCAGGGGTAGGAGTAAGGTCTGTAGTAGTCAGGGGTAGGAGTAAGGTCTGTAGTAGTCAGGGGTAGGAGAAAGGTCCGTGTAGTAGTCAGGGGTAGGAGTAAGGTCTGTGTAGTAGTCAGGGGTAGGAGTAAGGTCTGTAGTAGTCAGGAGTAGGAGTAAGGTCCGTGTAGTAGTCAGGGGTAGGAGTAAGGTCTGTAGTAGTCAGGGGTAGGAGTAAGGTCTGTAGTAGTCAGGGGTAGGAGTAAGGTCTGTAGTAGTCAGGGGTAGGAGTAAGGTCTGTAGTAGTCAGGGGTAGGAGTAAGGTCTGTAGTAGTCAGGGGTAGGAGAATGGTCTGTAGTAGTCAGGGTGAGATAGTCAAGAGATTTTGAGAATATTGCAGTTTTACCTAGAATTCCAGATATTATGCCAGAAGATGTTCTTATTTTCCTACATATAAGATGATCCAAGTTTTATACTGTTTTACAAATTTTACCATTATCAGCCTGTGCCTAATTTTTAATGTTACTGTGTGTTCATGCATTCAATTAATATGTATACTACATTATGAAGACACACTGAGAATGATAATACAGCGAATTCTAATAATACATCTTTGGAGTGTAATTTTAAGTACTCCTGAAGGTGAAGGGTTATAGCTCTGTTGTATCTATATTGTCAGGTAATCAACTTGTCACTATAACAGTTTTAACTCACATTTCAGTTATTGGCAGCTTGTTGTAACCAGTTTTTAATAAACATTGGAGTTTTTCAGACGGTACCAATGCTATCTTGTGTATATCTTTTATATGTGATATGTATGATGCTTTCCTCGCTGTCTTTTCTTGCCTTTACTTGATGACATTAGAATGTAGACAGGCCCTGTATAGAGTCAAGAACGATGTAGAAATTTTTAAAAAAAGAAGTATAAATTATTCGGTTCATCTTGAGAATTCGATTATTTGCTACTAGCATAATTCAATGAAAGATGAAAAAATCGATTATCTATGGGTTGCACATTATACGATAAAGGCGCTGTAGCTATACCTATCTGTTCCAGCGACAACCCACTATTACTCCGACAAGCTCTCTGTAACTGATAGCGTGTGAGCATTGTTTCATTATTGCTATACGATTAAGATGCAAACGTCGGCAGTTTGGAAGGGAAAACTCGTTTAATCGGGATAGGGTATACATTGGACTAGATGCGGTAGTCAACATCAAAACCATTAAGATAGAGTTGATAAGCTACATCAGGGGTGTTTGAGCGTTTGATTTTAATACATATTATAAGGAAATACGCGTCTATTGTTTTAGTTATTCATGATGCTCAATATTCAACATTTGATGAAGATATTATTCGGATATGTTTCTTGTGCAAGAACACTTCTGAAAAGGTTGCTTGTACTAGAGAATGGGTACTCACCGTAGTTCTTGTTCTTGCAGGGTCTGTCTACACCTACCGGATCACCAAAACATGCCCAAAAGACGAGACACTCGAGTCAGTCGCCTGGTGGTGGTGTTGGTGGTAGTGGAAAGCTCCGCCCAAGACCTCACAATAGCTCTCCCGGGGGGTCGGGGGTTCAGGATACTCCCGAGGGCGTTGGGCGCACAAAAAAGACGCCCAGAAAAATGCTAATGTACGCGGGAGGTAATGCAACTGGTCAAAAAGAAACTACGCCTTCGACTCGACAAACCGTCGGTGTAGGATCGGGCGTAAAAAGGAAGAAGCTAGCGGCGAAGGCTGTGGCAGGTGGGTCCGGATGTTTGTCTCTCAACATTCGTTCTGCGGCGCAGCTCAGAGGTGCCACGGGTGGTCAGACTGGCAAAAGTTCAACCCAGTCTGGTAAAGGAAGTGCAGCATTTATGTGTGGAAAGAGCAGTGGGGCATTTGATCCTTCACAGTTTAACTTGAAGGAGCCTAAGCTTGTATTAGAGCGGTACGTAATTAGACCAGCACCACCGTCTCCTCCGCCAGATCATCTGGAGCTGAATACCGGTCGCAAACACGTCCTAAAGAGGATGATGTGGCTGAAGATATTTTCTTACCTGTCTAGTTCCGACCTTGTCCGATGTATGGCAGTCAACAAGATGTGGTACCGCTGGTGCCTTCACCATACACTCTGGATGTATATAGACATCAGCAATAGGAGAGTATTACAGACGCATCTCATCGGCATTGTTAAGAGGCAACCTTTCTCACTAAAACTCGATTCTGTTACTATGACACAGATGCAGTTGTCATGGTTACTCGCACGCATTCCACAATTAAAGGAGGTGTCCTTGGCGTCTTGTTCCTGGGCTACTGTTAGTGCCCTCTGTCTGTCCTGTCCACTCCTGGCATCTCTCAATCTCAACTGGGTGTCGGGTCTGTCTGAGGATGGGTTTCAAGACATCATCACCCCTCCAACAGAGCGAATACCAGGCATGCAGGACGTCAGTCGTCTGCATTGCCTTAAAGTGCTGTGCTTGGCGGGCACTGGAATCACGGATTCATCTCTAGCTTTGATGGCAGAGCATCTGACAAGAATGGAGAACTTGGATCTTAGCTACTGTACTAAACTTTCAAATGCAGGTATGGAGGTGCTACTGTCGCCTCATTGGTCAATTCATAAGACAATAAAAAAGATGGACCTCTCTGGTTGTCGGCGGATCACGGAAGCCGTCCTCGACCTCCTTTCCGCATGTAACAAGTTGCGACTTGTTGTTGCCCGAAATTGCACAGGTATCTCAAAAAACCAGTTCGTGAAGGCATCGTCGTCATCGAATATAACTTATATCACGTGATATATCATGTAGATTTGCCGGCATGTAATGCATCGGTCGGAACTGTGTCGTCGACATCCAACATCGCGAGATATCCCATTACTTGTGTTACATGATACATGACATTAAAAGACCTAATCATGATGCATTTTGAAAATGTGCCGTAACCATCCAACATCACCAATCAGGTGATACTAGAAACCATAGACCTACACGTGATGCATATTTAGCTAACCATCATCAAATGGTGGATGTTTCAAATCTCCCTACGTCAGTTGTCAGTCCGTTAACTATTCTCGTTATGGCTGTTTCTTGGGAAGTACTCAACCAAATTTTCTCAAATTTCACATAAATATTCCCTATAGTCCCTAGTTGTGCACTCTTGACTTGGAACTGACGAGAAAAACAAATTGGCTGATAGGCGACTATCTAAGTTTTGACAATACAGTATTTTTATTGCTTTTTCTCGAGAAGAACTCGATGGATCTTTTTTTTAATTTTGAATTATGTTTCCTGTAGTCCTCAGATTTTTAAACTTACGAGAAGAACAAAATGGCTGGCAGGCGGTCATTTTTTATTTATGCAATGAATGTTATCGTTATTTCTTAAGAATTACGAGTTGAAATTTTCAGAATCTATGTATGTAGGTTCCCGTGGGTCCTATGCCCTTTTCAAGTTAGAATTGATCTGGGGTGGGGGGATAGCTGACAGGCGACCATCTTCGATTAAAAATTAGTATCACTATTCCTTACGAAGTCTTGTTTTAATTTTAAATTTCGAATTAAGAGCAAGAACCGAGAAAAGTATAGGAAAGAGTAGAAAAGGTAAAACTTGTAAAGAACAAACAATGGTGGGCGCCAAGATCCATCCGGGATCTCTTGTGTAAATGTGCCGTTACCATCCAACATTATGTAAATCACGTGATACCAGATGTCATAGACCTACATGTGATGCATTTTGTAAATGTGTCGTCATCATCCAACATTCGTACATCACGTGATTCATCATGTAAATGTTCATTGTATTGTCATCAATAGCCTACACAACATGCATTTTTTAAAGATTTCGTCATCATCCAACATTACACAAACCACGTGATACATGTATGGTAAAATGTGTTATGCATTCAAAGTACAATGTATTTATAACAGTAAAATGTGAAAAATAAGGTTTTGTAGAATAATACGCACACAAACACCTGTCGGAACTGCCATGAATCATTTGGAAAGTTAAGATTTAATGATGTTGGTACCTTTAAGTTACTTTTGAATTATGTTTTCATATAATGATCATATTTAAAGGAAAGCCAGCTACTTGAACCCGCTGTGTATTCCGTCTCCAGCGAAGCTAGCGATGTGTACTGAAATGGACTCGGGCCATCCGTCCGGATATCTAGGAACGAATGAACGGAACACTACTTAGTGTTTATGTTAGGGATGGTTTATATCGCCTACGTTTCATGCTTTACCTGAAAAAAATATAGTAATTGCGCATATCATATATGGGGAAAGTGTAGAAATCTCATGCATCGGTGAGTTGTGTAACTTGGGTTGGAGAATGAGAGACTGCTTCTTGCGAATGCTGAGTTCGACCTACTTTTTATTCTTCAATGTCATAGTTCGAAATCTGGTGTAGAAGGAAACTATTTGGAAATCTTGTACTCGGTTATGTGTTGCGTTGGATGAATTCTCTGAGCGGGAAACATCAATCCTGAATGTTTGTACCAATAAGGTATAGTTATAGGATGGACAGTCTCGCATTGTGTATTTGGGTGAATATTTTCCGGATACAATGGTAATAGTATGGACAGTTTCGCATTGTGTATTTGGGTGAATATGTCTAGGGTACAATAATGTGGACGGTCTCGTACGCCGTATTTGGGTGAACATGTCTAGGGTACAATAATGTGGACGGTCTCGTACGTTGTATTTGGGTGAATATGTCTAGGGTACAATAATGTGGACGGTCTCGTACGCTGTATTTGGGTGAATATGTCTAGGGTACAATAATGTGGACGGTCTCGTACGTATATGTGGGTTGAAATGTCAAGGGCTACTAATCAGGATGTTATCGGATGTTGTATTTGGGTAGAGATGTCTTCTGTCCTATTTTGGGTGGAGGTGTCTAGAATCCAGAAGTCTGGGCGATCTCGTACGTTGTATTTGGGGGACAGTCGTGTTGGAGTTACTTGCCCTTTGTGATATGTTTATACGGTTAAAGTATTAATGTTAACATTTAAATCATTATTCTGAATTATGTAGATATATTTGCGTTGCTTACTTTCATACCTCCGAGTACATGTCATCAAACAATGTGTTAATGTATACATCGACATCTCCGTGGTGACGGTGGTACTTTGACCTAAAATATCAATATTACGGATATAATCTATAAACAGCTATGGTTTCAGTTATTGTTCCAAGGTGAACTATTTTTGTAAACATTTAGTTTTCTGCCTAAGACGTAAGTAGATCTTTCCCTGTCAGGCAGATTTAAGTACAGATGTTGTTTCCGAATCAGGCAGATTTAAGTACAGATGTTGTTTCCCTGTTGGGCCGATTTAAGTTCAGGCGTTGTTTCCCTGTCAGGCAGATTTAAGTTCAGGCGTTGTTTCCGAATCAGGCAGATTTAAGTACAGATGTTGTTTCCCTGTTAGGCAGATTTAAGTACAGATGTTGTTTCCGAATCAGGCAGATTTAAGTACAGATGTTGTTTCCCTGTCAGGCAGATTTAAGTACAGATGTTGTTTCCCTGTCAGGCAGATTTAAGTTCAGGCGTTGTTTCCGAATCAGGCAGATTTAAGTACAGATGATGTTTCCCTGTCAGGCAGATTTAAGTACAGATGTTGTTTCCCTGTTAAGCAGATTTAAGTACAGATGTTGTTTCCCTGTCAGGCAGATTTAAGTTCAGGCGTTGTTTCCGAATCAGGCAGATTTAAGTACAGATGTTGTTTCCCTGTCAGGCAGATTTAAGTTCAGGCGTTGTTTCCCTGTCAGGCAGATTTAAGTACAGATGTTGTTTCCGAATCAGGCAGATTTAAGTTCAGATGTTGTTTCCGAGTCAGATTTAAGATGACGTTTCCATATCGGGCCGATTAAAGCCGTATTTTCCATTTCAACAAGATTTGTGTATTGACGTGTTAATTGTTGCTCTTATCCTGTATCAGATGTCAACATCGGTATGGTGAAGGAAATAAAGTTCCATAACGTTAGAAAATTGGCAGTCTATCTTCATTTTATCGAAAGTGTGCCGGAAACAAATTATTAGCACGCAATACAGGTAATATTTTGCACATGACAAAACTCAATATGGACCAGAAACACACCATACATATCTAAGTCTGTCTGTGACAACACTAAATACGGACCAGAAACACACCATACATATCTAAGTTTGTCTGTGACAACACTAAATATGATCCACTGTCTGTTGACATTAGCTATATGACACATTGTCTGTTGACATTAGCTATATGACACACTGTCTGTTGACATTAGCTATATGACACACTGTTGACATTAGCTATATGAACCACTGTCTGTTGACATTAGCTATACGACCCACAGTCTGTTGACATTAGCTATACGACCCATTGTCTGTTGACATTAGCTATATGACCCACGGTCTGTTGACATTAGCTATATGACAAACTGTCTGTTGACATTAGCTATATGACCCACTGTCTATTGACATTAGCTATATGACACACTGTCAGTTCACATTAGCTATATGACCCACTGTCTGTTTACATTAGCTATATGACCCACTGTCTGTTTACTTTAACTCTATGACCCACTGTCTGTTGACATTAGCTATGTTACCCACTGTCTGTTGACATTAGCTATATGACCCATTGTTCACATTAGCTATATGACACACTGTCTGTTTACATTAGCTATATGACCCACGGTCTGTTTACATTAGCTATATGACCCACTGTCTCTTTACATTAACTCTATGACCCACTGTCTGTTGACATTAGCTATATGACCCACTGTCTGTTGACATTAGCTATATGACCCACCGTCTGTTTACATTAGCTATATGACGCACAGTCTGTTGACATTAGCTATATGACCCATTGGCTGTTGACATTAGCTATATGACCCGCTGTCTGTTGATATTAGCTATATGACCCAAAGTCTGTTTACATTAACTCTATGACCCACTGTCTGTTGACATTAGCTATATGATCTACTGTCTGTCGACATTAGCTATATTTCCCACTTGTTGTGTCGACATTAGCTATATTTCCCACTGGTTGTGTCGACAATAGCTATATTACTGACTAGTTGTGTCGACATTAGCTATATTACCCACTAGTTGTGTCGACATTAGCTGTATTACCCACTGTCTTTATCAACATAAGCTGTACATCCCACTGTCTGACTCAACATTAATAGTATTGGGCACTATTTGCTGAAGTCAATGGCAGCTACACAGCTGACTAGAGTGTTTACCTATAGTCCATCAATGATTAAGAAATTCCAGACTGCGAGGGCCATTACATCCCTACCGGGAATCGAACATCGATCCTTCAATTCTCCAATTGGCAAGTAATTCATCCAATATACGCAAACTTGATGAGCTTCCTTCGAGCCGTTAGGAGGTGAAAATCCCAAGACAGTGCTGATACAGCCAGTCTGCGCCCCTGGATGAGCTTCACCAGCCAAACTTGTCCACTTTACCATGATCAAAATCAAAATTAAATATTTAAGACTCATATAGCTTTTTTTTTCCGATGGCGTGATTGAAAACCCTTCATGAAATTTGGTAGCTAGTTGTACCCTTGTGATTTTAGGACGGATCAGGAAAACAAAATGGCTGACAATTGATTATCTTAAAGGAAAACTAGAAAAAAAAATCGTTATTTCTTGAGAACTGGTGGATGAATCTTTCTTACAAATGGACCTCTTGTTGTCCCGGGTTGTGATCTTTTTATTTTGGGACTGATCGAAAAAAAGCAAGACGGCTGACTGGCGGCCATTTTGATTTTGACAATGTTATCGCTATTTCTAAAGAAAAACTCGATGTATCTCTCTCATTTTAAAAGATGGCTTCCCTAAGTTCTAAGTTGTGCTTTCTTGATCTTTTGAGTGATCGAAAAAAGTGACCTACACGCGGCCATCTTGGATTTACACTAGGAATTTTTTTATCACCTTTTTCTTGAAAATTACAAAACATATCTTTTTTCAAGATTATATCTAAGTTACCGTTTGGCCATACATGTGCCCTATTGATTTGGAGAATGAGGAGAAAATGATCTGGCTGACGGGTACAATCTTGGACTTTGACTGTGAACATTTGTTTTTTTTTTTTCGTATTGCTTGAGTACAGATGTTTCTCAAATTCCAATTATAGATTTTTATTTGTTCCTTGTTGTTGTGTCCGATTGATTTCAGGACTGATCAGAAAACCAAAATGGCTGACAGGCAGCTGTGTGGGATTTTGACAATGAAAGTTTGTTATCGCTATTTCTAGAGAAGTACGGCATGAAACATTCTGAAATTTCATACGTAGACTCCCCTTGGTATCTAGTTGTGTCCTTTTGATTTTGAAAAAATGATGAGATAAACAATATGGCTTACATGTACATGCGACCTTCTTCGATTCTGACCGTGGAAGATTGTTATCGCTATTTCGTGAAACATACCATGAATCTTTCTCAAATATTATATGTTCTTGGTCCTTCATTGTGTGCCCTTTTCATTTTTGGAATGCTTGGAAAAACAAAATGGCCGACAGGCCACCATCATGAATTTGAGAAAGGTTCTTAAATCTTTCCATACTTTTAATTTGGCATTAGATGGATACTTCTTTATCAGTTGTGTACGCCGACATACAATGGAGGGCAAATATAAGAAAAGAAAAAATCTATAAAGAACCACTGAAGATCATACAATACTGGGCGTCAAGATCCCAATAAAGGTAATATACTACTGGGCGTCAAGATCCCAATAAAGGTAATATACTACTGGGCGTCCAGATCCCAATAAAGGTAATATACTACTGGACGACCAGATCCCAATAAAGGTAATATACTACTGGACGACCAGATCCCAATAAAGGTAATATACTACTGGACGACCAGATCCCAATAAAGGTAATATACTACTGGACGACCAGATCCCAATAAAGGTAATATACTACTGGACGACCAGATCCCAATAAAGGTAATATACTACTGGACGACCAGATCCCAATAAAGGTAATATACTACTGGGCGTCAAGATCCCAATAAAGGTAATATACTACTGGGCGTCCAGATCCCAATAAAGGTAATATACTACTGGGCGTCCAGATCCCAATAAAGGTAATATACTACTGGACGACCAGATCCCAATAAAGGTAATATACTACTGGACGACCAGATCCCAATAAAGGTAATATACTACTGGACGACCAGATCCCAATAAAGGTAATAGACTACTGGACGACCAGATCCCTATAAAGGTAATATACTACTGGACGACCAGATCCCAATAAAGGTAATATACTATGGACGACCAGATCCCAATAAAGGTAATATACTACTGGTGTTTACGACCAGATCCCAATAAAGGTAATATACTACTGGACGACCAAATTTTCAATAAAGGTAATATACTACTGGACGACCAGATCCCAATAAAGGTAATATACTACTGGACGACCAGATCCCAATAAAGGTAATATACTACTGGACGACCAGATCCCAATAAAGGTAATATACTACTGGACGACCAGATCCCAATAAAGGTAATATACTACTGGACGACCAGATCCCAATAAAGGTAATATACTACTGGACGACCAGATCCCAATAAAGGTAATATACTACTGGACGACCAGATCCCAATAAAGGTAATATACTACTGGACGACCAGATCCCAATAAAGGTAATATACTACTGGACGACCAGATCCCAATAAAGGTAATATACTACTGGACGACCAGATCCCAATAAAGGTAATATACTACTGGACGACCAGATCCCAATAAAGGTAATATACTACTGGACGACCAGATCCCAATAAAGGTAATATACTACTGGACGACCAGATCCCAATAAAGGTAATATACTACTGGACGACCAGATCCCAATAAAGGTAATATACTACTGGACGACCAGATCCCAATAAAGGTAATATACTACTGGGCGTCAAGATCGCAATGAAAATCATACAACACACGACGTTAAGATCACTCTTTTTGAGTAAATTTCTACATGCAATTTGTACATTGGCTCCTTATCTACATGTAAACTTATGGTCCTGTCTCGGACGCTTTTATTTATAATCTGCTGTGTGTTTAGCAAAACCCAATACATATAAATAATAAAATATCTATTAAATCAAATTTTCAACTAAAACAATTTCTCAAACGATTTTTTCTCTGTGAACATCAAGGTTGTGACACAAATTCTGCCAACGCCATAGACCGAAAATATAAACAAGTCAGTTTTGGAACCATATCTTTCCGGAACTCCATTCCGTCCATGGCCACGTCTACATTTCTGACACAGTGCACATCAACCACACTACAACAGAACAATTCTTTATTTTATTATATCTTTGTTAAAGGTCATAAGAAGTGAGGGCTATCTAGAACCCGTCCAACAGTACATCCCTAGGGGTTTGCGTTATATTTACTGTGTATGGTTTGAAGTCGTGACCGCAGTATTAGATATAATGCTGTTTTATTACACAAGAGAACGACACCATTTGTGTTTCTAACAAAAATATGCCCATACCGTTAACCAATAAAATATAATATTATTCGGTTCCGTGTTAAATAAACCAGCCTGAATTAATGCTTAGACGTCAGGGCCAGGATACTAGTGATCCTAAAATCCAGACGTCAAAACCAAGCACCTGAGGAGTAGAGCAAGGATACTAGTGATCCTAAAATCCAGACGTCAAAACCAAGCACCTGAGGAGTAGAGCAAGGATATTCGTGATCCTTATAGCCTAAAGGTCAAAGCCAAGCACCTGAGGAGTAGAGCAAGTATACTAGTGATCCTTATAGCCTAAATGTAAAAATCAAGCACCTGAGGAGTAGAGCAAGGATATTCGTGATCCTAAAATCCAGACGTCAAAACCAAGCACCTGAGGAGTAGAGCAAGGATATTCGTGATCCTAAAATCCAGACGTCAAAACCAAGCACCTGAGGAGTAGAGCAAGGATATTCGTGATCCTTATAGCCTAAATGTCAAAACCAAGCACCTGAGGAGTAGA